GCATCTGATTAAAGCTGCAGCATCCCAACAAAGACATCAAACCGTGTCAGCATGCGTTCCCCACGGGGTCGGTGCCGTTCGCCCTGAGGGCTCGACATGGTTACGCTTCTTTAAATCTGTGACTGTGCGACCTTGTCTCTGGGTGCTCGTATGCTGCTTGAATTCTGACTGCACCTCAGGAGATGTGCCTGCAGAGTCCTTCGTGTCCCGTCCCCACCACCACCATCATAAAGCTTTTAGTCTAAATGGAGAAGATTTTGGCTACGTCACTTTTCAGCTCTGTCAAAACGGAGCCCAGCTGATCCTGCTTTTTAACAACTCGTCATCGGTGCATGTTGTAACTCTTTATCACTGCACGGCCTCATTTACATGGTCTCCTGTATCATCCTTCTGCTTTTAGATTTCCTTTCTCCCAGGTTGTCACTGGGCATCAAACATTTCCCTAATCTATCCCATAGTTCTCTAACTTAATTCCATCAGTTTCGTGTGAGTGACTGCTCTGTTTGCTTGACCATTCTTCATGGAGAACATTCATTTTACATTATAGTTTAGTCTAGATCATTTCTTAGTCATATTGCTTAACCAACAGATTCTTTAGTCAAACAAGTGGGGTTTATTTTCTCTGCAGTGGAGAAAGCCTCGTACATGGCTCGTATGACAAGTCTGGAAGTCTTGAGAATCTCTTTCCCACCTTACACAAAATCCTAAGTGCACTACCAGTCAGAGGTTTCAGGACATCTCCACGTTTCCAGCCGTTATCAGTGTGATCCAACAGGTGATTCTTTCTACAGCTGAAATCAATCACTGCTGGCACAGACGGCACTGCTGCAGATGTTCCACAGATGTGCTGTGCCCGTTGGCTGCTTTGCTTTCACTCCTCACCTGGAAAGTCTGGACACTGTACCTCCATTGTGTCATTGTTCTTTCCTTCTCTGCAGCCTGGAAGTGGTTGTGGCTCATTCTCCTGCTACAGGATGAAGCCCAGAGAAGCTCTGACTTCCTGTGTTCATGGCCTTTTTCCAGATGATGTTCCAGAGGTGCAGTAACAGTCTGCACCAACACTGCCTTTGTACAGACAGTCTGTTGTTGGGGGGGGGGCTGCCTCATCCTCTTGGAGGGTCTAAGGACAGAGGGTGTTGTATGCTGTAAAGCTCTTTGAGACACACTTGTGACTGGCGATACTGGGCTAGATAAATAAAATTTGCCTTGACTCCCATGTGCCAGCTAACAAAAATGAGTTTGTCTTGCATGAGATCCTTGGTTTCACTTAATTTCTGGGAGATTTACTGTATCCTGCTGGGACTTGATGTGTGCTGCAAACAGAGAAACCATCACATTTGAGATGGAGTTGTCTTTCTGTTATGGTGATGTTGTGTAAGGTTGGTTTCCTCATTGGATTTTTATAGTGCACTAAAATGAACTGAAGTCATGGGTGTTTAGAAAGTATAAAGTGGATGGTAGGATTTGGACACTGGTCACAGAGGTGCACATATTTAAGGCTGAAGATCACCTGACTGGGCCTTTAAAATGTATTTGATTTCCCACCTGGAAACGTGTCATCAAGTCAGTAAACACTAATGGTGAAATCCTTCATCCAAGTTAGAGACCCTTTGACAGAGTGATTTATTTCCAAAGTGAAGAGAGTATTTTGTGATGTCTCTGAAGCGACCAGATGGATGGCCAGGCCACGCCCATCACAGTGTCTTCTCACCAGTCACAACCAGGCAGGAAAAGGCTCTGCTCTCTGGGAAACAGTGGGTGACCTCCACTCCTGACACAGCAGACAGCGAGGCAGACATCTTCGACGGCGGACGGGTTAGGGCGTGGCTGGGAGTCCAGAGCCCCGCCCCTCCTCCTCAGAGGACTTCCTGTTCCAGAGCTGTGCAGACTGTCAGGGAGGTCGAGGTGAGTGAAGTTATGAACCATTGGTTGGTGAGTGAACCAAAATATATTTTAACTCTAATTTGCAGTTTATTTAAAAAAGGGCTGAAAAATAATGGAAAAAAAAAATCCAAGTCAAACAAACAAACTCTGGTTGTATTGTAATAACATTCCTGGTCTTTTGACATGCCATCTAGTCATCAGGGCAACATTTTAATTCCTCTAGTTCTTCGGTTTATGACCAGATACCTGCAGCACTAACGACCTTCCCGTCAGTCTTTTCTCTACTTTAGGTTTAGTGCCAACACGATAGACTAAGTTAGTGAGAATGATATAACCTTATACTAAACAGCAGAAACTAAACTGCGCTAAGCATCAGCATGTTAGCATTTTCACTGACATTAGCATTTAGCTCAAGGCAAACCTGCTAGCATGGCTGGTGACTTAGTGTGACTAAAGCTGTGGGGTCTGACAGGATGAGAATTCACTTTCAGTTCGTTGCTCTGCTCTTCACCTGCCCAAGGTGAGAGTGAGCAGCTTTGATCATTACAAGCAAAAGAAGCTCTGCTAACTGCTCCATAAAAGGGAGATGGGGCCCCAAAATGTGGGTCTCAAAGCAGGAAGCTCTAAACACATGTACAGTATACACACACTCGCTCACCAAAACCTCCATCAACATTCATTATCATCAGGCTTTCCTTTCTCTACAAAGGTGGATGAATCTGTGAATTTGGTGCAGACTGATTTCTGAATACCTGTCCTCTGCCCCCATCCCCTGGTTCCACGTTTCCATTAGACTTAACCAGCCTCAGCCTTTATTTTCTGTCCCCCTTTCTCATTACTGGTGAAAGCATCTATTTATTCTCCTCTTCCTCAGTCTCGTCTGCTGCTCTTCAGGCTGCCAAGTGAATCCATAAAGTCTTGATTTATGTGTCAAGTCTGGCCGCACTTTAACTGCTGTCATAAAAACAGGAGAGACTTCCTCCTTGCCTTTCTTCCTCTTTACTTCCTCCTTCCCTTACCTGTGTTTTTCCTCTGATTTACAGCCAGTTCACTTTACTGAGAGCTGAACAAAAATGGGCAAAGAGAAAAGTTGGTAGACAAGTTTTTCATGGTTAAAAAGTGTGTGTGTGTGTGTTGGTAATTAAAGAACTTTTGTGCACAGTCATTTGTGAAATGTGAATTTGATTGAATTTGTTTGCATAAACACTAATAGATAATATATTTACCAATGTTATTGACAGCAAAATGACAAGCGGACTACTTATAAATGATATTAGTGATCATCTACCAGTATTTGTGGTTTATGATGGCCAGTATAGAAAAGAGAGGCCAAAAACAAATCTTTTCTATAGTAGGGTGACGAATGAACATGCTGTAAGGAGGCTAAAAGAGGATTTTATGGGGCAAAACTGGGAACCAGTTTACAGAGAGGAAGACTTAGATAAAGCATATGAGCAATTTTTAAATATATTTAAGAAAGTATATGACAGGAATTGTCCTCGTAAGCAGTATAAAAACAAAAGGAATTACAGTGGGAAACCGT